CAAAAAATTTTTAATTTTTCATGATAAAATAAGTTAAAATTTCAGCATCATCCGATTTCAGCATCATCCCCGACAATTATTATCTGACGCTTATTTGTTATATAAATAACACCTTGTTACGCTTACTAGTTACATAAAAAATCTTTATTTCCTTTAATTATTTTGTTTAATGCACACGAAAATTTTCGGTAAAGTTTATAACATTAAAAAAAATTTTATATACTAAAGAAATTAGATTAGCTTACTACGAGCGAATTATTTCATTTTTGCAAATCAAAGGACCGAAAGAATTATTAAAATTATGCATATAATAGTTATTGATAACGATTGTTTAAAGTTACAATTTAATAAATAACATTAACCGTTACTTTATTAGAATTTATACATTGTAAGAAATCAAATTTTAACTATTAAATTTTTGATAATAATATTAATAATAAAATTGGTTACTGTCAACTTGCTAGACTTTTTTTCTTTTTGAACCAAGGGGGAAATTGCCCACCCCAATTCATATCCATCTCTTTTTTGAACTTAACATTGGATCGATGCCACTTACTCTGTAAATGTTGATTCCAATTGGCAAGTCCGTTAATCGCCACTGGTGAATTGTCATTAAAAATTTTGCAAATATCACATTCGTATTTTGTCCAAGTCTTTAAGTTGTCAAAGGTGCTATAATAAGAATGAATTTAATAAAATATAAATTTAACAGAAGACAACTTTAAGAATAAATTTAGATAAATACTTCATATCTGTCACTGGATTCAAAAGTTCTTTTGCTTCCGAACTTAAGGATTTTGGGTCCGGTCCGGTGCCATTATCCAAAAATTCTATAATCCAAAAAATTATGCTCTTTACCTCATTAAAATATAAAACGCAACAAAAAAAAAAAAAAAAAAAATTTGATGTATACCCTTAGTGATTTTAATTGCCACATCACGAACATCTTGATTCCATTTTTCCAGAACTTTTGTTCAAAAACGAATCAAAATATCGAGTTAAAGAATACTCTTCACAAAAACATATCATAGGAACACGGGATTGAAAATTGAACAAAACGAAAAAGGATACATGTAGTGTTCAACAAATATACTCTAACTTTACCCGCGTAATTGACATCTGTATCATTCAAATCACTTTCTTGACATTTAAGTAGCAATTTATTACGAATCCATCTAATTTGTTTCCTAGAGTATCGGCGCGTTGCAGCTTTCATAGCTTCAATACTAGATTCCTTTATAGCATCTAATTACAAAACCTATAAATTCAAGTGATTATTTTAATATAGCTCTGGCACAATTTACAAACCGACGGCATTATCATCTGAATGTGGAGTTTCTTCCAAAGTTTTTAAATAGGGTTCAAATTCTTTACATCCTACCACAATAAAAACATATAATTAGAATCATTGTTATTATATAATTCAATTTAGTTTAATATCATCTTTTACCTATGACTTGCCAAATTCCACGTGTATAATTTATATTTCCGCCAGATGACATATGAGCTGACTCATTATTCACCTTGTTCCTAAGGTATATTAGTTCTTCAAAAAGTCCCTCCTGAGATGCAGACCGAAAAAATAAAGATGACCTTCAATGACCTTGTTGTCATTTATTTAGTAAATTATATTTTTAAGCCAACATTTACCTTAATCATTTTATCTACTCTTTTATCAAGTCTTTGGTCTAAGACTTTAGGATCAGCATATAACCAAAAAATACATGTTCGAGGAAACCTATAAAGGAAGTATTAAGAGTATTATTGGCACTATCATCGATAATGATTCAAATTATTTTTCGTAATGAAATCATTCGAACCTCAATGACAAAGCCTTTTCATCTGGTTGATGTTGTTCTTTAATCCAATCACTATGACATTTTCCTGTTTGTAAATATATCTGATATTAAGAAATGAATATTTAGAACGTCGTTGAATAACATATTTTAATAAAAAATTCGGTATCCTATACCTGTAAGCTTCTTCGAATTTTTCTTCTATCATTCCAATGCCATTTATTAGCCATTATTGGGTCAACTTCTTGTAAACGTTTATAGAGAATGTCTGTCTCAGAATTCAAAATTTCATCATTTTCTGAATCACTGTCATACTCGCTGTCATCACAGGTTTTAATAAGTGAATTTTTCCAAAGTAATGATTGTATGTAATAATGAGTTCCACCAACAATAATAGGAATATGATTGCGACTATGAATATCATTAATCTTGAAATTTGTACAAGGCATAAAATTATGAGATGCTTATAATATTAACAGTCAAATGCTTTCTAATAAAAAATTTCATACAATTTTTATAGCATCTTCAGTAAATTCAGTGACGCGATATTCTTGAGATGGCTCTAAAAAGTCCATAAGATGGTGTGGAATCCCTTCACGTTCTTTTACAGGCATTTTGTTTGTAATTATATCCAATCCTTTGTAAACCTGGATTATACAAACATAATACAGTTGACCCTCATTAATATCAACCTGCGTTAATATCAACTAAGCCACAAAACAAATTTTTATAAATTTTTATATATCAAAATTCCCTCATATATATCAACTTTAATATAAACTCTCATTA